CACCCGACCTGATTGTAGTTCGGCTTAACAGTTGTCTGACTTAATGGTCGCATGGGGACATGGCCACCAAACTTGATGGACAACCCACATGATGGCCGCCAAGATATATGAATTTACTATTCATTGTTGTTTTATTGCTCTTCACCTCTCTCTCTCTCTCTCTCTCTCTCTTTCTCTCTCTCGCATCCTTTAGTGCTTCATTCCTTAGGCAGGTCATCCTTACATATTTGGATTCAACATCCTAAAAGGTGTGATGAGCTTGAAGTCATGTTGTCAACAAGAAGAAGACACAACAATCACAGAGAAAAGAGAATGACCAAAGAGAAGTAGCTAACATAGCTCTCTTACGAGATAACATGGAGGAACGTATGCATAGCGGAATGCGAAAGATGAGAGCTCAAATTATGAAGCAGGTGTGGGGTCAAATCATCAAAGTTCTGAGGGTCATCACAGCCCTGACAGGAAATCAGTTCTAACAAGAGCAAAACCAACTACAGGAGGTGTCACCGACACACAACAACAGGAGGGTGAACCACGGTCTTGAGGGGCCACTGACTCGCAGTACTAAGAAAGTGCAGGATCCACACAGGTGGAAATGCAGCATGTAGGGCATACTAAGGCACGATGTCAGCTAAAGAACACTTTCTCCCTCAAAAATCTATGGAGTGAAGCCCCCAAAAAAATTCAAACTACGAGCCTTGAATGCTTACAAGGGACGATTAGACCCAATGACTATATCACCACAATTGTGTTGGTAATGTGCCTACTTAAAATCTCAAACACGTTCAAGTGCCATCTATTTTTTCACCACTTTAAGGTTGTGAGCCTTGAAGTGGTTCCAAGCATTTTTGGTCGGGTGCATCAACAACTTTGCTAATTTCAAGAGATTGTTTTTTAGTGCAGTTCACCAACACTCAAAGACACATTAAGAGCATGCAATCCTTGTGGAAACTCAAGCAAGGTGAGAACGGGAGTCTACGCAGATTCATCGCATAATTCAATAGGGAAACGACGGAGGTGAAAGACCTTAAAGTCAACACAAGCATTAAGTTTCGAGAGGTTTTCCTAAGACCTTAACATTAAGGAACACCATGACTTGTCGAGTTGTTGGAAAAGGCCAACGAGCGCATGCTAGCAAAAGAAAGTATCCTCAAATGAAAATCAAAAGGGTTTCATGCCCAGAAGAGTGCTCTCCCCAGCAATGGGTCAAAACCAAGGGAAGATTACAGACCATCAACATCGTTTTGAAGGTGATAAGTCCTCTTGCGATGGCGAAAGTATCGAATGATACGACCAACAAGATGGTCAATCAAAGAATCAGGGCTCATGACAAGCCTGGTACTATGAGAGGCCGACATAGCATTTTAAAGAGTTGTACAAAGATTATGAGGGCGTGTGAGCTACCTCTTTAAGGGTGTCAATGGTAGAAATCATGATCGTCATCTAGAACAAAGAGTATTTCAAGGAACTTGCACTGATGAAAGCAAGAGGCTTTTTCTGAGATGCAAGGAAGTATTGTAAGTATTACTGTGATCATAGACACGACACAGAGGAATGTAGGCATTGCCTGAGTCTCTTTAAAGAGTTTACCAAAATGGGAAAACTACATAAATTCATGGCTTAGGGGCACTCAAGTCAGAGACATGAGAAGGAGTTAACGCTAGACACCCCACCAGAACCCATCCAGATGAATGTCGTCCATGTCACCAGGATAGTCCAAGCTATCCTCAAAGAGGAGCTTCTAGAAGATGACTAGAGCGAGAAAGTTGTGAAACCTTGTCTCCATGTAGAGGAGAGGAAGTTATCCCCTCATCAAGTTCACAGACGATGATCTTCCTTTTGGAGAAAACCGTACGATGAGGCTATAATCATCATGGGGATAATTAGTAATTTTTAATTTTAGAGTATCCTCATCAACACTGGCAGCTCTGTGAAAATTTTGTTTAAGTCAGTGTTCAATAAGCTTAATCATTAGGTTGGTCTGTTGATAGCAAAGGTCGACCCACTTTTTGATTTTTAAGGTGAAAGGAAGGAGACATTGAGCGTAATGCCATTGGTGATCACCTGAGGTGAAGGAGAGAAATACTTCACAAAGACAAAGGTTTTCCTGGTCGTGGATTCGCCCCGAACCTACAATGCTATTTTTGGTCACCTACTGCTAAACCGTTTCAAAGCTGAGGTGTCTACTTACCACGTAGCAGTAATGTTCCCGGGAGATGGTGAAATAATTATTATCAAAGGATATTTGGAGTTTTCCCGAGTCTGCTACCTCTGGGCAGTTGAGAGTGGAGAACAAGAGCCACTTGATTGCAGAACTGGAAGAAGGGTGGCATTGAAAATAGCCAGGCCACCTGGAAGAACCTAGTCGGTGAACAAAAACTCGACAAATCTTTTCTAATAAGTGCCAATGTTGATGCAGGGTGTCTGGAGCTTCTAATTCAAACGCTTCAGGACCACTACGACGTCTTTTTCTGGTCCTCAGTGGAGATTCCTGGGATATCTACTGATGTTGCCTATCACAGATTGAAAGTGAGATCCACGATCTGGCCGATCAAGCATAAGACAGAGAACTCAGTGATCACGCAGCTGGACCCATCAAGGAGGAGATGTTGAAGCTACAAGAGGTGGGGTACTTCTCACAGGTGCAATACCACCTGAATTTCGAAAAAAAGTCATGGTTAAAAGAGCCAATAGGAAGTGGAGGTGTGTGTCGACTTCATTAACTTAAATACCACCTACCCGAAGGATTGCTAAACATTGTCGAGGATTAATGCCCTGGTGAATGCAGTCGTATGATACTTAGTGACAAGCTTCATAGACGCTTTATTTGGTTATCACCAGATCAAGATGCACTCGATGGATACTAAAAAGATTGCCTTCATTACTGCTGAGGGAGTGTTCTGTTACGATGTAATGCCCTTTGGGCTTACGAACACTGGGACAATGTACTAGTATTTAATGAAAGTAATTTTTAAAAAATAGAAATGAAAGAGCATTAAAGTTTATGTCAAAGATATGCTTGTGAAATGTCGAATGACAAAACAACATATAAAGGACCAAAAAGAAATTTTCTAAACCTTAATTCAGAGCATCAATAGACATGTTCTTAAGCTACCATCTAACCTCCGAAGGTATAAAAGTGAATCCTGACAAAATCCAAGTGTTGATTAACATGCCGCTCACGTGGAGTACCAGAGAAGTTCAAAAATTAACAGACCAAATCTTAGATCTGAGTCGTTTCATTTTGAGATCAAACGACAAACGCGCGACATTTTTCAAAACTATTTGAACCAAAATTTTTCGGCAAATGAATGAATGCCACCAAGCTTTCCAGAACCTCAAGGATTCCTTAGCTTCACCATCACTCCTTCAAAGCCCAAGGCAAGTAGAGATGTGTCTCTATACTTGGGGGTGGGAGCTGAGGCC